TGGAGTATAGCGGGTATAAACAGACAGAAATACATTGTTTTATGTTATAGGTATCGTTAATACTTTTAAATGCTTTCAGTAAAAAGCTGTTATTTTAATAACAAACAGATACTCTATTTTTGTTTATTTGTATATATAAACTATTTAATAATTAAAAGATCAAATTCAAATTAAAATACATTTAAAACAGTCAAATAGTTAATCCTAACGTGTTGAAGACAATGATTGAAAAAATCCAAACATATAATAGCTAATTTCAACTAATTATCTTTAATTATATTTTTTAAATAATATGTTTTAGAATACACTTTCTTTCCTACAAATACTAGTCTAGACTGATTAAAATAACGGTAAAACTATAATTTTCTAGGCAGCTTCATAACCCGGTCCGCTACCCCCCTCGACCGGGTATCCGTAAATGGATTCCCTAGCGTTAAAAAAAAAAGACAGCTTCATAGCGTTACCAAAAACGTTACTGTGATCTCTACGAGTGATGTGTAATTTTAATCACATTAAACAGGAATATGATTCAATCAAAGGCCGAAGCTCGTCCGCGGCGCCTCACAGGAACGCCTGGAAAACTACTTTTTTCTCCTAACGACGCCGAAAGTTTGGTTTTCGTCCCGCTGTACAGGGAAGAAAGTGTAACTTTTCCTCCCTGGGTTCAATTGCGCATGCGCGTTAGTGTCTACGTCTGCTCTCACGCACCTAAAATTCTCCGCCATTGTTGTGCTCGGGTAATTTGCAATATTGTGTTTAGTGTACAAGTGAAATAAACAAAAGGCAATAAAATTTAATAGTGAAGTATTAAACAAAGATGAGTTCATCAGACAGTTCATATTCAATTAGTAGTAGTTTATTTAAAAATAAAAAAACAGTTAATTTGGTTTTTTTGTGAGTCCCCTACTACCGACCAGGGCTTCGCCCCTGGACTCCGGCTCGGTACTCCAAGAACTTTCGGCTTGGTAGGAGAAAAAATAGTATGTGCACCGCGGGAGAAAAGTTCCTCCAGCGTGTTTGCCCGCGTTTTACACGCGGGAGGAAATGTCCAACTTTTCTCCTTTGGTGCACAAAGTACTATTTCGGTTTAATTTTGCGTTTGTAAGGTATTCGAAACATCGATAATATCGAGGGGTGAAAGGATGTTTGGTTTAAGCGACATTTCGCTTAATACGCGACATTTATCTTTGTAATTAAAGGTCCGTTTTATTTGGTATTAGCATCAACAGTTCAATGTTTTTAATTAAATTTCAATTAAGTTTATCTCATTCTAATGGCTGATGAAGTTTGTTACCATATTTTTTCCAAATTATAAAAACTTTAAATGCGAGAGGCATTTAAAGTAATTCCAAAAATCTCGCTTAAACCAAATAGCCCTCGATATAATGATATTAAATACGCGAGATTAAACCGTAAAGTGATTTTTTATTATATTTACGACACGTGAAAAACGCAGATAATATTACTTTGACTACAACACAATTAATGTATGCAAAATATTGAATTAAATTACTTAAAAGAACAGTTCGTTGAATTTACAAAGAAATACAAGTAAAGAGGTTAAATATTAAAAAGTCGCTTTTAATAAGACCGCGATTGATATCTTAAGCGTGGATATTATGTTTTTGTAAATATTTTACGTAAGACTTGCGATAAAAGAAACAACTAATATCCGGTTGCATTATGTGATAAAAGAAACATAATATTACTAAAGCTGATTATAAACGAATTGTGTTTAACGGAAACAGATAATGTTACATTCGTTTTAATTAAATTAATGTTGTAATGCGTTAATTAAATTTAAGAAAACATGCTCGAATGAATAACGAAATTTAATTAAAAAATGACATCTTAAAATTGACTGTTTGCACTGACCTTTACTCAAAGGTAATGTTGGGAAAGCAACTGTAGTATAGGTCAACGTTTACACGAACAAAGTCGCCTTTATTGCTGAAGTACAAAGAAGGTACTAAGTCTGGAAGTCGGTTGATGAGGACACGGGGTGGCCCCTCCCCGGTACCGTCCCGGCCAACTTTAATTAAGACACAATAATTAAAATAACAAGCGCCGGGCGTGGAGGCGCATCAGTATGCGAGTTCGTGGGGGCACATACGCGGGACACGTAACTACGCCGCGCCGGCCGGGTCTCGTTCGCTTCTATCTTTGTGTAAAATAAACTTTAATTTACTGCAAACGTAAACCGTTCCTATAGTGTTGTGCATTATCCCATCCCACATATTGTGCATTATCATATCCCATATATTGGTTTCGATGCAGATTCGATTGCAATTTTCGTAATTTTTAAATGGATTTTTTTTTACGTAATTTAAGTAGTTCATTTCAGGAACATATTCAGCTGCAAGAAGAGGAATCATTTTTTCAACTTATAAAGACTTAGTAATTCAAAGTAGAATATGATATAAATACTAATATGGTTGCCAATGTGGTTAACAGATATACTTAATTGTTATAAACAATACTAAATTACGTACCTATACTCGTGGATCGATAGATAAAATTGCACTTTATAGTCTTATCGCGTTCTCAATTGAAATACATTATATGACTATATATTTAAATTATAATTAGGAAAATAAATAATCATTTTACAACGGTTTTACCATGTCGAACTTTTTTGTACAAAATAAAAGTTTTAAAGAACTGAATTACATCGATCTTTATTGTTTTTTAGCACCGAGAACATTTTTAAGTAAGTGGGCTTCAAATGACAGTACATAGTCAGCACACAGAGTACCTATGGAGTTATAGATGATAATATAATAATATGATTATTAAAATAAAACAGATATTGAGATTCTTAGATTTCTCGTAACTCGAAAATGGGTACTGAAAGTTTTATATGGCTTACAGCCACATCTAACGCACTGGATTTCTCATAACTGCTCATCGATAAATGTCCACATTCGTATAATAAGGACTAATGTATGAAACTAAAAAGAACGGTAGGCAGCGGCTTGGCTCTGCCCCTGGCATTGCTGAAGTACATGGGCGACGGTAACTACTCAACATCAGGTGGGCCGTATGCTCGTCTGCCTACAAGGGCAATAAAAAAAAACCTATAACGCAAATATAGTATATGTTTGTCTCTTTTTAGTGTCATTTCCGTTTCGTCTTAATCACTTTTAAAGTAATTTTAACTTAAAAACAAATTTCACACGAATGTAAAATGTCGTTTCTGTGAGTTATTATTGTGCTTACATAAACGACATCTTTAAAGTGTTGCATTAAAATGCAGAAACTATTTATCGAACCCGTTCTCGAAGTTTGCCGCTTAAGGGTCATTCCGTGAAGCATGTTTGTAATTAATTATCTTAGTGGTATTAAACCGCGAGTCGCTTTATCTCAATAAATTTAAAAAGAAAATATTATGTAAATTCTTAAAATATTTGTGGTTTCTAGAAAAAAACGATATGTTAGATTTAATTAATTAATTAATTCAACGCCCCCCTTACTTATACCGTAGTGTTTCAAAATCGTTTCTCGAAAAAAATGACGCATCTAACGTTTATACTCAAATATATATTACATGTCATGTGTGTTTACGAAGATTAGTTACGCTTATGTTTTTACTGAATTGTATGCAATAGTTTGTTTAGTTAGTTGTTTTTTTAATATTGAAATTAAATTTACTGTTTCTTTTAAACTATTTAATTTAATGTCGTTAAAACAACAAAAATGCATCGCCTGCAGCAAATAAAATCGGTATAATTGTAAATGTAATCTGAGACCTTAGAACTCACATCTCAAGGTGGGTGGCGGCATTTACGTTGTAGAAGTCTATGGGCCCCAGTAACCACTTAACACAAGGTGGGATGTGAGCTCATCCATCCATCTAAGCAATAAAAAAATGTATCTTTAACTGTATGAATAATAGCATTATGTGTAGCTACGTATAAGTGACCACGGATTGGTAGGTAAGTACGTCATATGTGATGATTCACAATTGTTAATTTACCGAAATAAAAATTTATACATTTTTGGAAACATTACATAAGTAAATAGTGACATTTAATTGCATTGAGGGCTTTAAGATTTTTAGGTAGGTAGGCCACAAGTAATCCAAGGTCTATAGATCACTGCTTGATAGAGTACCCTGTTTCTAGCTAAGATAACAAAGATGACGAACTCCAATATTATTTTATAAACAACGTCCTCATTAAATTATTTATTTGCGACCTGCATTCGAAATAATGAGCACGACAATCTTATAATTTAAAAACAACAGACTCACTATCAGAGCTGTTTGATATAATAAAATTATTGGACTGATTATAAATTTGTATGAGAGAATATAATTAAACAGATTAATTACTATTCACTAATTAGTTTCGCAATAATAAATTTTATTTAATGGAACCTTGCGTCAGCTTGTTATTGTTACGAAGTTCAGAAGAAACATTCTTCTTTAGATAATGTCGGAGCTACTTTATTGTTAGGTATTTATTTATTTATGACACGTGACAATGAAGATAAATAAAAATACATGATAAATCACTCACGTTCTTTACATTTTCGCTGATCATCGCGAGCCGTAAACAAATACATAGTGTTGTGTAATTTCTGAGTGATATTATTTGTGCAGTGCTTAAGTGACTGAATCATACGAACGAAACCTCAAAAAAATGCAAATTTGTAAAATGAATTTGATGACCTTAAAAGCAAGAATATAGAGATAAATAATATAAATCTTGTCTATGCAAAAATGTATAGTAGCCATTTGAAGAGAAATAATTTTTTTTTACTTTGCCGTATTTTAAGTCAATTTTTACCTTCCAAACGGTGCTTTCCCGACGAAGATATTATGTTCGCTAATTTAAAAAAATAGAATCAAACTTGATTTGAAGTTTTATGGCTTGTAACATAGCTTTCAAAACCTTTTTAGTTTAGGCTGTACTTTATTTATGAATATTAAAATAAATACACGAAGTGATCAATAAGATCAATTATGATAATTTATTGTAAATAATAATATAAAATACCTTTTTTGATCGATCGAGTTTCTTTCAAAGAATTATCCTGTAAAACTCCAGCACTGTTAGTCTTTAATCCATAAAAATCCCAAGTTAAAACACACTTAATGAATAATCACTCAACAAAGTCACTTTCAATTAAATTAAATACGAATAAAACGGACGTTTTCAATCTGAAGCTTGCTTCGGCGAGTGAAATTGATTTCTCGTCTAATTAAACGACAAGAAAATGTTTACAGTTTGCGAACAAGTTCGAGTTCGAATAAAGTTTGATAATGGAAGCAGACGAAAGAACACGTACTGCAAGCACAAACATTCGCGTCCGAGTGAGCCGAGAGTGCGCGAACGACATGAGGTGGCGGGAGAGGGCGCCCGTCGGGGTGGCATGGAACAACACTCTAATATAATGACAGGGTCGGAACACTTTAATACTCTAATTGAAAAAGTATACTCTAACAGCTTTTAAGTATAATTAAGGTTACGCTTCAACTTTAAAAGATTTGATACCAGGGTTTTCTGTAAATTGGCACGGAGTGTGGTTGTTTTATGGTGACTTCATTTTATTATAAATCAACAATACTCGTCAAAAAAAAATCACATTGCTAAGCCTTGTTGTAGTTTTAAAATCTTGTGACATTCTTCTCAACATATAAACCGAATTATCTGTCAGCAAGGTTAGCTGTACAAAAAATATTTCTTAGCGAATATAAAATGTGTTCCATGAAAATAAAATTATACAGTGAACAAATCGATACGTAATAAAACTAATCGGCAAGAACATCACGTCCCACAGCCGCTACATAGGTAAGAAATATCACAAACACAACATTGTGAGTGGATTCTGGCCTAAATTCAATTCCACCCCTTTTCTCGGCACCCGTTTGAGTAAGAAACCAATCTTCTTTACATTCCCTTGTCGACAAATTTATACTCCTCCATATATGTCCTCGAAGGCCATTGTCTTGTTTCACTCGGGTGCGCGGTGTCTTGCTGGAGGCCTCTGCTTCGTTAATTATTGAAGCGAGTGTCCAGTCGCGGTGACGAAAACGATAAGTGTATGTCTGATGTCGGAGAACTGTCGTTGAGAATTTAATTTTCACGGACCGCCCGCCCTCGCCGCCATTGTCCGCCCAGTATTTCATTACGGCTCGAGCTTTTCTATTAATAAATCACTCTTCGCTTGCGCCGTTTAATTACGTCCCGGATCCGGCCGTTTGATTACACTTTCATTGAACATCTAATTAGATGTGCAATCGCCCCACCGCAACGGGAGCGACATGTAGGTACTATTTGTTCTTTAACAATTAGAAACGGCTTATAGGGCCTCTACAACTAAACTGAATGAATGGTCATTGTATTAAAATGACGGTTGCATTGTTCTTAATCAAATCGTTCTCGACACCGATATTAAGATACATTGATGTTGAGTTTTTAATAGAAGCATGAACAATTTGATTTTTTAGTAATTTCATATTTTGTGAAACAGCTACATAAGGCGAAGTCAATTATCTGCCGCTACCGCGTTCCTTCGAGGTCATTACTTCCTAACTCCATTTGATTTTTAAATGTATTACATCGAGCGCTAGAAGCTGAAAGCCGTAATTAAATAAAATAATTTAATAGTTGCGTTATTTAGTGATATCGCTAGAACTAACACCAATCTTCTTTTTTGGACACGTTTCAAACGCATTACATATTTAATTGGTTAATTTAGGCATTATTTTAATGACGCATTAAAATAAGTTATTCACCTCACAAAGCTGTGTTAATGTTTATTTTGAAATCGGATTTTTAGGAGTTCGTGCGCAATATAGTAGTTGGCTCAAGACCTTTTTTTAATTTCCTGACTGGCGATGGTTGTAGCGAGGACGCGGCCGGCGGAGACGCGGGCAGCTTCAGCGGCCCACCCGTTTAACTTATTGCCACGGTTAACGAGAATACGCCGTTGTGTGCCGGCAAAATTGAAGGATTTACTTCGCGTCCCTCCTTTATTAAACGTATTGCACACTCGGCCGATCGCATGTGTGCGTGCTCCTGACTATACACACAGTACGCCGAAATTACATTTCACATGAGTCGTAATAACAAGGGCGAGCGTAAATCACTAGCATTATTAGTTTCTCCTGTAGCCGGTGCCATTTTTCATTTTGTATTGATGTGAGAATATTTGTTTGGAATTCACTACAAGCGTTACGATAGTTTTAACACTAAGTATATGCTGTATTTGTATTTCCGGCATTGCTTACGTCCATGGTATAAGAAGCGGCTTGGCGGTGTTCCTGGTATTTCTGACGTCCATAAGCCACGATAACTACTCAACATTACGTATACCACCTGTCTACAAAGGCGATAAGCCAATAAACTTATTTACTGGTGGTAGGACCTTTTGTGCGTCCGCGCGAGTAGGTACCACCACCCTGCCTATTTCTGCCGTGAAGCAGTAGTTAATGCGTTTTGGTTTGAAAGATAGGGCAGCCGCTGTTGTAACTTGAGACTTGAGACCTTAGAACTTATATCTCAAGGTGGGTGGCGCATTTACGTTGTAGATGTCTATGGGCTCCCGTAACCACTTAACCCTGGGCTCTGAGCTCGTCCACCCAACTAAGCAACAAAAAAAAACTACTAGAAAGATTGTATAAGATTGCATAAAATATAGATTACGTTACCATTGCTTAATTTTTCAATCTCAAAGGAAATAGGAAAGCAGAAATGTAAAGTTATGATTTTTAGGTTTAATTCAAATTTTTACAATTATTGTAGTTGTGGACGTTTGTTTAAATAGAAAATACGGTTTGATAAAATACACGATGGGTAATGTAAAATAAAACAACGTACTAAGCTAGCAAGTGAGGCCGCGCGACTCAATGTAACCGGACTTCCCGTAAGCTAAGCGTATCGCTTAAAGTTTCGCAATATACGCGCACCCAGTCCGTCCTTTATTAAAAACTATTCTCACATTTTTAATTAAAACTTGTGTTCCCCTCACTAAAACTTTATTTAAGCAATAAAGGCGGCGCAATTAGCGACGCTGTCCCCGCCGGCGACTTCACCTACTTTTCCTTTGCTTTAATGAGTGTTTTTTAATATAGCCAGGGTCTGGTGCAAGTTTATTAATTTAGTTTAAGTCGTGTCATGGCACCGACCCGGCCGGTATACTTCGCCTTCCCATCCTGCAGCAATAATTCAGGTTATCTTTATATTATACTATTTTTACCTAAGCTCCTATACAATCTACGTAAATAAAATAATATTGAATACATAATTGCTTACGGGGTTTTTGGGAGTTAAATTAAATCATATTTAACTGCGTCAAATAGTTACATGACATCTGAAATAAACTATACATATATTATATCCTTCTCCGTGCGTCGTATTCCTCAGTTCTGAGGTTCTGACCTTTACTGAGCGCTTTTGTTAGGACTATGTTCTTCCATTCACTCCTGTCCTCCGCGCAGTGTTTAGCGACATTGATGCTGGATTCCAAAGTCGTCTTAATCTGATCGAACTAGCGCAAGGGACTACGCCCCCTAAGCCTCTTTCCTTCCCCTTTGCCGCTGATGAGAAGTCTTTCGAGATTGTCACCCTTTTTCCTCGCAACATGACCGAAATACTCTAAAATCCTACGTAGGCAAATGGTTGAGAGTCTTAAGGAGACGCCTAGTTCTTCCAGGATTGATGCGTTTGTCCGATGTGCCGTCCAGGGAATCCGCAGCATTTTCCTCCAGCACCACATCTCAAACGCGTCGATCCGACTTTGATCAGCCTTCTTCAGAGTCCATGTCTCCGCCCCATATAAGAAAATAGAGAACACAAGACTTGTTACAAGCTTACGCATTGTTTTTATATAAACTTACGAAATTTTAGGTAAGCTTATAGAAAAATATCGTACATTCGATTAAATACTCCCGCGCGTTTAATGTAAATTAGGGCCGCTTCATAAAATTATAATAGCGACGTGGTCGTGTTAAAACAATAAATTAATCATGTTCGCGAGAAATGCGGGTGTTTCCCGAAATGTATATTACGATTCCAAAGTAACGATCGTTGTCGAGCAACGAACTAAAAGCCTGAATGACGCGGTGCGCCCCTCGCGCCCCGCCAAGTGTTCCGGCCATAATTACATTCCCGTGTCTAACAAATGGAGAATCGGTGTTGATTTGTGTTTAGCCGAGCACGAGCCACGAGTTGATGCGCGCGACCCGTGCTCTATCTGTAGGTTCACCCTTGCCGGCCAGCGACCACGGAAATGACCCTGCCACAACTCAATTTACAGCAGCACCTTTGCGTGCTAATACCCTAATATTTGTGTATAACACAAAATATTTGCATAGCTCCAAACATTAGCAGCAAGAACACAGTATTTGCAATGTCAATTCTAAGCACGACTTGTGACAAAAACAATAAGTGTAGTGTAAATAAATGCTTCCAGTATATCTGAAGGAAACTTTCAATTCTAATAAATAGATTGTTTAAAATCTAATCATTACCCAAAACTTCCTCGCTAACCGATGCTTAATGAAATCCACCAGTAATTAAAATAATGAACGTTCAAACTAATCGCAAACCTGAAATAGTTTCGTGCGAGGCCGGTAATTGCGCGCATATCGGCTAAGTGAAAAACGAAGCTCGGTCGGGCCGGCCTAAAAGCTTTGCAACAGATTGCATCAACACACGGATTTTCCATTACGCGCTAGTTCTTCATTACCACCACCTCCGAAAGGTTAGAAACGAGAACGTTTTAAAGCGGCTCGCTGTTTGTGTTTCATTCAGTTAATCTAATTTCACTCGGTTAAGTCAATATTAATTTAACGAGTCAAATCTTACTTACGTCTTTCCATTAGAGCAATATTGCGTCCTAATTAGGCTGTCCAAAAAGTTTTTTTAATTGGACCGCAGGCCGTGTACAGCATAATATTGTTACGCCGGTAAGAGTTACGCAGGTAAGAGTAACGCCATCTATCGACGAACAGTCGAACAAATATCGTAGAATCTAGTAGCACCTAGAACGCTCGAGAAGATAATTCTAGGGATGTGGTATCAGCTTTAAAAGCGTTGCAGAGATGGCACGTAGTTAATCAGTAATCGGAACTACTTGAAGCGAAACAGCGAACGGATCACCTGAAGCGAAGCGGAAGAAGCGAATTGAAAGTTTTAAAGTGTTTGTTGAGTGTTTTAAGTGTTCTAAGTGCTAATACAGTGTTAATTTGTAATTCGGTAGAATTTTTTATTTATCCCGAACCCCAGCGCGTAACAATATTTTATGTATTTTCCTACCTAATCGTTGGTTGCTTAAGGGGCTATTCCAATCTCACGCAGACTGGTA